GCTGAGAGAGGAGAAACGGGAAAGTGGGGCTGCCTCATTGAAGGCGGTCCGCGAGCGGAGAAGAGCGAGATTCATGCTCGAGTGAGCATTCTGTCTCAGTGAGCGTGCAGCTCACTGCCCTTCTGCGGCGGATCAAAGCGCAGCGGGAAGAGCGAGCACGGGGTACGGCATGCGAATGCTCAGACCAGTTGCTTAGTTCCCTGACTCAGCTGTTTCTCTCTCTGAGGCTCGCTGAGAGAGGAGAAACGGGAGAGCGGGGCTGCTTTCAATGAAGGTGGTCCGCGAGTGGAGAAGAGCGAGACTCATGCTCTCGGCAAAAGCATTCCGTCTTAGTGAAGTGCAGTCTTCCAATGGCCGTGCAGTTACACTGCGTTATTAAAAGGCTTCAGTCATCGGAGAAAAATGAGTTTTTCCCAAAGCGTCTTAAACAGACACAGTATGAGTGAAGTATCGATAGGGAACCTGGAAAGAGACATGAGGATTTGGGGAGAAAAATTAAAGATATTTAGTGCATTCCATGAAAATTATTCATGGTTTTTTATCATAAATTAAATCGGGAGAGCAGACCACAAATGCACAGTAGGGGAGAGCAGGGTGAGTTGAGCCAGTTTTTACTTTCAGTACAACCAGTAGCTTGTGCACGCAATTGCGTGGGGCACCGCAAGCCATGATTTTTTCCCCAGAGGGGACCACCTGATTGCCCTGATTAGTTCATTCTGTTCACCTGTGATCCTGTAATCAAACGCTCATTGGCTTTCGCCTGCGTCGGCACAGATTGTGACATTCCGTGTTTCTTGTGAGGTGTGTTTGAATGATGCGCGCGCCTTCATGGAGTGGATCGGAAAATAATCTGGATAATATATTCAGCGAATAACAACTTAAATTCTGCTCTGCACCTCACAAACCTACTATATTCCGCCAGAGAGGACTGTGACTGCAACGCATCATCATTTGGATTACTTTTGGTACTGCTTTTGACATTTTTACAATAAATAAATGATTGCAATTGCATTTATCGGTTTGTCATGTTTTTCTTATACTGTACAGAAATAGTTATGTTTAGGTTTAGAGGTAGGAGTGGGATAGTAACTATAAAAATATTTTTAATGCTATATTGTTACTAAAATGGCTATTTTCCTGCATATTTAGGTCAACTGCATTTTATATCCTTTTATATTCGCTATAAAATGGGTAGGTTAATGTTTGGAGGTAGGTTACGGGGTCTAAAAATTTAAATCACTTATTGATTGAGATATCTATCGAATCTCTTGCTCTAGCTACGGTGTAGACCACCAGGGCCGTATACAGATTTCCTAAAAGAATTTGCAGATTTCCTCTCAGACCTATTGGTTCCCTTTCATGGGAACTTCGAACTGCGTCCTCTAGGGGTCGCTATGGGTGGGGGGAACGCCTCGTCGTGACCCGTGTCTGAAGCATACATTGAAAAAACACCAACTCGTATTGTTCTCAGCACCTCTCTTGTGCCTGGCATGATCAAGACTTACATTGTTCTAGACAATTTTGTGCCATTCAAACTGTGCCTTGTGCAAATGTACACTTACTATACTTTTTTATCCCTCGAACCATTTTCCTTATGTATTCTCTCTTATGACAGGTTCGTTGCAATCTGTTTCCCTTTAAGACAGGACTCTATTAACACAAACACCAGAATGACTTATATAATCAGTGCAGTTTGGTTGTTTTGTTTTGTTATAGCTCTCTATGCTGTTACATCCATCCCAACCCTGTCCTTTTGTGGCTCTCTTGAGGTCCACAGCTATTTTTGTGATTATGCTCCTGTTTTAGTACTTGCTTGTGGTGACACAACAACCCAGTGGAATTTTGTCACTGCATTAACTATACTCTTTATTACTGTACCTTTGATTTTCATTTTTTTGACCTACATGGGTATACTGACTGCTGTATTCAGAATGAAAAGTAATCAGAGCCGTTTTAAGGCGCTGGCCACGTGCACAGAGCACCTCATATTAGTGGCCCTTTTCTTCATTCCTATTGTAATCATCTTCTGTTTTACATTTTTTGGAATTATTTGGAACCCAAGAGTAGGTCTGGTGAGCTTGTCTTTGTCGTCCCTCATCACACCCTGTGTGAATCCCATCCTCTACTCACTGAAAACTAAAGAGATTCGAAGCAGGATTCATTCATTGTTAACCCAGAGACTGTCTGTTCATCCTCTAAAAACTTCAAACAATTCATGTACAACATAACTGTGGTTCAAGTGTAATGTGCTGAGATTATTTATAATGTTAACTTTGAGGCTTTCTGTGATGCTTCAATATTACATGTGACAATATTATTTTGTGTTCATATTATTGTTTTTCAATAAAATCTCCAAATCTACATTTGCTCTGCAGTTATCTTGTAAATACTAACATTTTCTAATAAGGTCTAAGCTGGTGATTTGCTGGGTGACCAGTTACCATTAAAAAACTAATAGGCCTAATAAAAAATAAATAATGTCTTTAAGGCCAGCTACCATGTACACAGTTAACAAGCTGTAACAGAGGTTTCCAACAGAAATGGCCATTCTCTGAGGCAAAACACAAATAATAAAAATAGAATATAAAATGAGTATTTGTCTGAATAATTAAGTTAATAAATACTCGTTAAGAGCACAATCTAATATAAAAACATAAATATGATATGTAGAAAAGACTAAATTCACCATAGAAACACAGTGGCTTTGGAAATACAAGCGCTTCAGTCCATTGCAATTGTGTTTTGTCTAAGCTGGTCATTTGCTGGGTGACCAGTTACCATTAAAAAACTAATAGGCCTAATAAAAAATAAATAATGTCTTTAAGGCCAGCTACCATGTACACAGTTAACAAGCTGTAACAGAGGTTTCCAAATAACAGAGGCAAAACACAAATAATAAAAATAGAATATAAAATGAGTATTTGTCTGAATAATTAAGTTAATAAATACTCGTTAAGAGCACAATCTAATATAAAAACATAAATATGATATGTAGAAAAGACTAAATTCACCATAGAAACACAGTGGCTTTGGAAATACAAGCGCTTCAGTCCATTGCAATTGTGTTTTATAACACTGCAATCTGGTTGTGGCTAGAAGGGATACAGCTAAAACCGGAAGCTAACAATAAATTTAATTTTCTACCTATTAGATTGTGTTTTATTAACGTCTACACCTACCCCAACCCTAAACCTACCCCTTACAATAATGCAAAAATAGTAATTATTGTTGTACAGTGTGACAAAAATTATGCTGCCTGTATTGATTGCGTTTCCTGTCCATGATAATGAAATGACATGGCTAGACAAGTTCTGAAAGCTTCATAAACTGCAAAAGCAGGTTTATTGTAATACTAAAAATAGTAGTTTTGCTAAAGACTCAAGCGTGAAGAAAAAAAAACTTTTATTTGGGATTTGGACACACACACACACACACTGGGTTTTCATGTTTTATGGGGACATTCCATAGACGTAATGATGTTTATACTGTACAAACTGTATTTTCTATCTACCTACTCCTCACCAAAATCTTTTTCAAAAAATATCATTCTGTATGACTTATAAGCTTGTTTCCTCATGGGGACCAAAAAATGTCCAAAGTCAACATTTTCTGATACTACTATCCTTGTGGGGACATTTAGACCCCATAATATAGGAAATACCAGGACCACACACACAATTATATAGGAAAGTGTCAAACTGAGGTTTAGAAGTTTAAGGAGTGCACAACCACCTACCAGAACACTCACAAAAAGCAACTTCTGAAGCAATTAAACCGCTGTAAAGGTGTATTGTTTTTTTCAATTATGTTTTTACTTTTCCCTGTCCTTCATGCAATCATTAATTTCATTTCATCACTTGAAGCTATATAATAATAATAATAATATAATGATTTATAGAACTTATTAATTAAATTAAATTCATGACAATAATGCACAATATTTCACACACTAATATTCAGAAATAGTCAGCATACTGTGTAGTATGTAGTATGCTAGTATTTCATTCCAAATACACCTGCATTGAGCCTTACACAAACACCACTGCTTTTTTGCCAGCACTTGAGTATTTATTAGATTTGTTTATACTTTATGCATCTCATTTTTGCTTGTTTATTTGTTTGGTTTTGTAAATTATTACTTTGGTCTATTATGAAATGCATGTGTTTGTCTTGACACGAGGCAAAAGCAGCTTCCCAACAAGATATATGAAAGTTTTCACATACTGAAGGCTGTTGTCAGTTTGCTGTCTAACTGGAGCTTCAAAGCAAAATCCAGGTGGCAGACGATGATGCACTTGATACATTTAGTGCAAAATCTGATTAATATTCATATCGGATTTTAATCTCGCCATACATCGCTGCATCCATCTCTTAATATTTCAATAATCGTTAGGCCTATAGGAGATGAGCTCATCTTGACCTAACCCTTTAACATCTACTTTGGGATTGGTTTTTTTGATTGTGCTTGCAGAAATTAAAATGTTTGCAAATTTGTAAACAATCAATGTATTTATTATGTTAGGAAAATCTGGACACAGTAGCAAGCCTTATAACTAGCTAGTGAACAGTACTTTCCCTGTGCATCATGGCTAATAGAAACTATGTTCTTTGATAACAGTGCAACATTAATGTACAATAAGGAACACTGTTTCACACACTTACTTTTGCAGTACATGCTGTGTGGCATATAGTATCTATTTCATTCCAAATATTGAGCCTTACACAAACGCCACTTTTTTTCTTTCTTTTTCTTTTGTTTTTTTCCTACATTTAGGTATTTTTATACCTTATACATCACATTTTGCTCGTTATGTATGCATGTATGTATTAAATATGTCTAGGTCTGTTTTTGTGAATTATTACTTTGGCCTATTACGTGTGTTGAATGTGGAAATGTGGATGCCACTTGAACAAACACTAATTTCATCAGCAATCGTGGGGCAAAAGCAGATATAAACAAAATATATTTGAAGGTTTTCACAGATATTGAAGCCTGTTGTTAGTTTGCTGTCTACCTGGAGCTTCTATCAAAGCAAAGTCCAGGTGGCAGACGATGATGCAATTAATACATTTGATGGAACATCATATTAATATTCACATCTGATTTTAATCTCGCAATACATTGCTGCAGCCATCTCTCAATATTTCCATAGTCATCATAAGAGATGAGCTCATCTCCAGCTGATGAAAATGATGTTTGTTAATGAACACGTAAATACCAAATTTAGCCTGACCTCAGTAAACCCTTTAAATTCCAGATCCTACAAACTAAATAAATCTTCTTGTTAATGATCGGGGGCTTTGTCTCTCTCTCTCTTTTTTCTTTCTTTTTTTTATGCAAGTTCTGAAAGTAATATGAAGTGTTTTCGACTTTGGGAAGATCACTTAACTTGCTCAGGGGATGCACATTGTTGTGTTTACATTGCGTCTCTCCTAAGGTCATTAAACCTGACCCTCATGAGATGAGAGCAGCCTGGGGCTAATTAGAGCAGAAATCATTCACACAGACTAGACTTGATTTGTTTGTGTCTCAAAACTGCTTTAATAAGACAGACAAATTATTAACTTTGTCAGTTATATCTTAATTAATTCGCACTTCTATTTGCACCTATTTGCACTTCTTTTCCCCTGTATGAAAATCAATAGTCACAATGTTTAAACTGTTTGCTGGCTGATTTGTTTAGAAAGTCAACCTAATACATGCTACTTAAGACAACAATCAATAATAAATCATAAATATGAAATATGTAGAAAAATATCTCGACTGAATTCACTAGAGGTCGTGGCTTTACCGCCTATTGCAATTGCCTGATACAACACCACCATCTAGTGAGTGACAAGTGTAATTACATCCACTGTCATCTTTAAGGCAATGAATGGATTCGGACTCTTAAAAATGTAACACATTTCCTGTTCGTGATATGAAATGTTCCCGACTAGACAAGTTATGAAACCTTCCTGAAGCTCTTGAAATCTTAAACTGCAAAGGCAAGTTTATTTAAATATCAAACCTTTAAGAGTTTTGCTACACAGGCTCGAGCGTGAAAGGCAATCGAATACATACGAGCGGTTTTTTTTTTAACTTGTATTGTTTTTAGATACTAACGTAGTTATTTATTGTAACACATTTCAAATTATAATTTAAATTGTAAGGATGACATCGACTCCTCCATCCCCTCACAACCGGAGCAGGAGTGAGGATGAGGATGATCCAGTGGATGGGATGATCTCCAGGACAGGCTGTGCTGAGCTGCACTATGCTCTGCAGGACTGTATGGCTGAGCATCAGGACTGGAGGAAGTGTCAGACTGAGGTTCAGAAGTTTAAGGAGTGCATGACCACCTACCAGAACACTCGCAAAGAGCAACTCCTGAAGCAGAGGACTTCCGCCACACAATCTGCTTGATGCAGAGGCCTCGGAGACAGTGCTGCTCAATAAAACATCCATCATATTTACTTAACAAAAGGCATAGTGTCAAGAATTTCTGTCAAGCACAGAAATGTCATGAAAATGTTTCATGTATGTTTAATGTACATATTTATTGGACAATCAGAATAAAGAAGCCAAACAGAAGCATTTTCTTTAGTCTCAGACTTTGTACATGTTAATAAAAAAAATGAACTCATAATTTGAAAAAAACTGAAATATACTGCTTTTATCACAATATCATAATTAATTGAATATGGGTTTGCTGAACATTCATTTTACAGTTTCACTGGGTTCTTGCTCTTATGTTTTAGAGAAGTTTGCCGTACTTTCACTCTATATTCTATATCCGCATAAACAGAAGAAATATTTTATAGTATAGGATGTATGAAATCCTTACATAACATTTCATTTAGCACTAAAATTAAATAATTGTAAAGGTTAAGTAATTTATTAGAAAAAATTAAGAGAATTAAGTATGTGAGCGGACCATTTTTAAAAGTTTTTTTTCAGCATTTATATTTATTCCTCCCCTTTTATATAGGCTAATCATGAATTTAATATCGTTACATAAAGCTACAGTACTGTATGTTTTCAAGAGAGTTTAAGATCGCCGTGATATATTTTATTCATGGTATTTGCTGGAGCCTGGCAGCGTTAACAACCGTCCATTTTTGGTTTCAGTGAAAAAGGCAAATGTTTTTATTTGAGCACTGTGTTAAATTCTAATCAAACCGGAGAAATTGTTTCACACATCAGTCCAGCTTATCCTGTTCAACTGGACATTTCTAACATTACCAATTACAACTAAACAAAAGTTTAGTTCTATCATCAGCCCCGATATTACTCCAGCTCAGAGCGTTCTCTGTTTAAGCACTGTTGATCTTCACTTCATCACCAAAATTAAGTTTCAGGAGCTTCTTAGCTTCAGCATAACCCTTCCTATCCATCTATTCCTACCCTTTGCAAGCTCCTTTGACTGGCCAGAAGTGAATTGTTCCAGATACTAAAGTCTGTCCCTACTATTCTCGTTTTTTGTTTTATCCTCATTGATGATACTGATGAACTGTGAAAACTGCGAGACTTGTGACTCAATAAGTGTTTGTAGATCCTTTCGTACCTTTTTCCACATCTACCATTCACTCATAAATTTCGCAGATGTTGCCATTTTAGGCTCAAATCAGTCAATATGCTAATTTTCCCTGAATTTCATCAGGTAGTTGTTCCTGCTACTTATGAGCAGTCTTAAATTCTCCAAGTGCCATATAAAATGCTTCCACACTTTTATTCATTTATTGATTCTACGTCACCACCACAAGCAACGCTTCCATTTCATTCATCCTTCATGTGCACACAGCAAGATTTCCCCTACGTAGAGAACTGAGCGAGGCAATGCTTTGTTCAACATTTTCATCTTCATTAGCCATGCTTGACACAAACAAAGACAGTCAAGTGTCCAGATAGCCATAGGATCGACAGGCCACAATATGTACATTAGCATTAGCTTCTTGCATCATGCTCATATCTTTGGTCAAAGCCAAAATTCTCAACAGCAGCACTTGAAAATAAATTCCCCCATGGTTACTCACAAATTGGATGAATTGCAGAATCCTTTGAAAGCTGTTGATCCACTGAAGGCCTGTTAATTTCAAATGTAGGCCTTGATTGGGCCTACCACAAGCCTGCATCCCTCTTCTTGGGAGTTTTTTGATTAAATGTAATGGCTTCCTTTACTCTGTAGCCACTTCAGTGTGGGACACTACAAACCTGTTTGAGCAAGTTTGTATTTATTGGAACAAAAGATAAAGTGGAAACTTAAAGACAAACTGTGATTCAAAGTAAGCAGTGTGGGTCAACTACCAACTGCCACATCACATCCCGTTTAAGATAGCTGCCTACAGGAAATGCCAAAACAGATGCAATTCAATCACTGCAGGGGGAGTACAGAAATATAGTGACATATAGGGTGCTTCTCAAATAGAAGGCTGCGTCCTCCCTCTTTCAGTCTTTCGGAGGCCTGTAGGCTAGCGTCCTCCTGGGTATTAAAGGCTAGAATAAGGCTGTACGAAAATACTAATAAAACTTAATTTTGGAAGAAAAAAAAAAAATTTATATTATTTATATTTTATATTAATGCAATACAATGAATCACAGCCATCTACAGTCTCCCAGTGGATTACATTAGGCTATTGGCAGTTTAGTGTTAACCAAAATGTTCATGTCCGAAAACAATATTTTTGTCTTACACTTCATAATAAATTCAGACAATCTCAGTACTTTCATGAATAGGATTGGGGGAGATTGAAGGTCGCAGGTGCTTCTCAAATAGAAGGCTGCGTCCTCCCTCTTTCAGTCTTTCAGAGGCCTGTAGGCTAGAGTCCTCCTGGGTATTAAAGGCTAGAATAAGGCTGTACGAAAATACTAATAAAACTTAATTTTGGAAAAAAAAAATTTTTTTAATATTATTTATATTTTATATTAATGCAATACAATGAATCACAGCCGTCTACAGTCTCCCAGTGGATTACATTAGGCTATTGGCAGTTTAGTGTTAACCAAAATGTTCATGTCCGAAAACAATATTTTTGTCTTACACTTCATAATAAATTCAGACAATCTCAGTACTTTCATGAATAGGATTGGGGGAGATTGAAGGTCGCAAAGGATACATACCATGCATCCTTCAAATTCAGCTGAATGAAGGATGCGAAACGAAGGCTGTGACATTAGTGACATTCGATGACGTGGCAGTTGACTTACGCAGCCTTAGTAGGATGCAGCCTTTCATTTGAGAAGCACCCATAATGAAAACATTGAGCAGTTATCACTATCACCGGCAGGCAAATTAGGAGACCAAATAAAATATATGCCATGAGGTAATTTATGGAATTACCGTTACAGGAAAGGCTGATGACAGGGCCGTGATCACAGAAATAGCTATCGACCACAGTAGATCTACAAAAAGAGAGTCTGTTGACTAATCCCACAAGTACAGCAAATAAAAGCATGGAAAACATCCACATACTGCCTATAAGGAGTGACATGGATTTTTTGGTAATAATGGCGTGATACCGTAGAGGAAAACAAATAGCAACCAGTCTGTCATAAGCCAAAGCGAGTAGCGTCAAAGACTGAACGTTCATAAAATGAAACACAAAAAACATATTCATCAAGCACGCTTCATATGAAATGAGCTGGTGCTCAAATAAAAACATGTCTATGAGTTTTGGAATCAAAGCTGAGCTTCCACACAGATCAGAAAGGGCAAGATTAAAGACTGCAATGTATTTGGCTGTGTGAAGTCTGCGGGCCAAATAAATGGTACACATGATGAATGAATTCCCCAAAAGGGTCACAGCATATACAAAACACAAGAACACATAGTAGTATTTTGCATGTGGGAAATTAGAAAAGCCACTGATGAAGAATGTTGCAGGACGCACAAAGGTCACATTTGCAGAGGAGTTTGACTGCATTGAAGTCAAGCTGGCCGTTGTCTGGAGTGTTGTGTTACCTGTGATAAAGAACTGTTTTTAGATATGCACTCAATAATCTCATGATTTCAGTGTATTTGTCAATATTGCTTGGCACTATGATTCATGGCATACCTCTCAGCCTTCCTAAACACTTATTCTGAATAAATACAATACAGTGTGTCTAAACATTACAATACAAAGGAATATGGTAAGGACTTTTATATTTAGTTCACATGAAATGTAAACATACAATTAGACTGGCACAAGATTAAAGATCCTGCATTTACAGTTCATGCTTCAAGTAACACAAAGCAAACACAAAGTTTCACATTTAGTAATTCGATAATTATTTTAAAGAATTCCATACAAAAATCACACAGCTACTATCATTATAACTGGAACACGGTTGGTATTGTAGATGAGAACATGATTCTTTTTCTTTGATAAGCCTTTTCCCAGATGCCATAAACTCCTTTGTCATGAAAGTGTAGAGGTTAAGCATCAAAGGAAGCACAGAGGTCAGAGAAAGAATAATTATTGTAGTGCTGGTGCTTAAAAGGACCCAAAAGACATATGTTAGGCAGATGGGCACATAAAATGCATCCACTACTATTAAATGAGCAGTACATGTCTTTGTGGCTCTTTGACGGTCCTGTGGTGTTATGAATGATATTACAGCTATGCATATATATGAAAAGATGATACAAAAAAAATGGAAACATGATGATCACCTGAAACAGAACACTCATGCTGACACAGCTTGGGAAATTTGACCTGCGATCACAGAAATTAATGATTATGACACTAGTTCTGCAAAAAGAAAGTCTGCAGATTATTGTTTGCATTAGTACTAGTGTCCATGAAGCACCAATTATAACAAGCATTGATCTGTGAGTCATAATCATATGATACCTCAGTGGTAAACAAATGACTACTAATCTTTCAAAAGACAGAATAGTGAGAGTTGAATGCACTGAAACAAATAACATATTGGAGAGCATATCACACAAGCACAATCCATACGGGATCAACTGATTCCCAAACAAAAATGCACCCAGTTGCTGAGGGATTTCAGTGATACTCTCACAAATGTCTGTCAGTGATAAATTAAAGACAGTGATATATTTAGGAGTTTGAAGATTTCGGTCCGTAATGATAACAAACATAAGGCAGGAATTTCCTAGAAAAGAAATAAAGTAAGCAATAAACAGGAATATATAATAGTATCTCATGTGAGGTATACCAGAGAATCCAGCAGACAGGAAGGAAATATTCCTGCTTACAGTAACCTCTTGAATCATCTTTTTTTCATCCTGTATGGGCAGAAAAGCAGAATGCAAAAAGGTTGAAATTTTATATAATAATAACAACGTTAATGAATAATTAATAGGATATACCCACAGTATGGTCTTAGGGAGGTTTGCTCGGCCTGCAGGCTTTCCCTAATGCATTATATACTGAATGAAGGGTTGTCAATCCCTTCAGCCTATCACTGACTGTGACCGTCTCCACCAATGGCACACCCCTATAGAGCTGTCATCTGGCCAATCAAATCACAGCACTGACAATAATGTCAAAGATAGTTGGTGTATCTGTATTTGTCCTGGTTGAACTGCCATTATTCTTGGTTCATATCTTGGGCTAAATTTAAACATGATGAATAGGGTGAAAAATGTAACTAATATATAGAATTAATATCACCATACTTCATATGTTGATTGATTACATTAAGAATTGCAAAGATCTTTTGTATTACAAGTTTTCTGAAATGTTATATTTAATATGAAAATGAGGTATTATTTAGTTAAATATGCATTAATTTGCATGCATTTCCAGAATAGAAATCGGAATATTCAAAATTACATTTTGTTGACATATTACTGTTAAAGGTTTTCACATTTTTTTTATAGTTTTACTGTCAAAAAATTATTTCACCATGTTTATTTAGGAATAAAACTTGGTGTGACATTAGGCAAATTATATATGAACAAACCCCTTTGTAAAGGCCATCAGAATATACAGATAGGAACTAAGCTGTAAAGTTTGGTGTGTGTAAGATTTCTGGCTCAGTGCATGAGGGAAAAATCATTTTGAGAAAAAGGCCTTTAAAGATATGTATTTTAACAGAAATCTACAGACAGAAATAAAGTATATTAAAATAAACATCTAGACATGTCTTTTGGATGTTTCTTTTCTCTAGCCTGAAACAGCATGTTATGAAAAGCCCAAAATATCAAAAAGGATCAGTGCATGAAAAAAAAATACAGTTTGCCTGTAATGTCTTGCCTTCAGCACCCAATGAATATGCAGAAGGCAAAAGGTATTGTGTGGCTTCAGAATTTACAATAAGAGTCATATGGACTTCTTTTAAGACACTCTTAGTGCTTTTCTCTCCTTTTCTATCCTGTTCTATCTTGGCAGGCCTAGTTACAATGCCTTTGCTGTTATTATGGGTTAGAAATGTCAAAAGTATACAAAAGTAACTACACCATTCAGTGTCTCCCTTTACAGCCATTAAAAATGTATATTCAAAAATTATATGTAATATGGTTGCCACATCAATCGACTGGCAAAACACATAATTGTATACAGTAAATCACAATTAATCTCAATTCATCATCCAGCACAACACTTGCTTTTGCCACTAGAGGGCACACTAGAATAAGTTTTTCCCCCCTAATCAAACTGCAGTACTTCTTTTATTCTCAGTGTCCTTTTTTAACAGCTTCTGTAGAAGTTCCTGTATATTTGACTTCACATACTATACTATTGTCTCTACTATTGTCACATACTATACTATTGTCTTTGGCATTGTGGGCCATACTCTGTGTCACAAGTGATTAGTGAACTTACTTCATTAGATACAAATATGCATATTTACATGTTGTCATTAGCAAATAACCTATACAAAATTTACGATGTTTATATCTTTTTACACAGACATGTGAAATGAAAATACTGTCACCATTTACTCATCTTCATGTCATTTGTATTGAATGAATGCCTTTTTTCCATTCAACATTTATTGAAAATTAATTGTGAGGCAAATGTGACTTTTTGTGTTCTACAGCATAGATGAAAAAAGTGCTTTGGCACAATATGAGGATGAGTAAATCATTTTTATTTACCTATAATCAAATCAGCACACATGGAAAGCCTTGTTGCACTTCAAACAAACATTTCAATAATTTCCAAGAAAATAAAATGAAGTAATTTATTACTTTAGTTTAGTCCATTACTGGCCATTCATTACAATACAATACAACTTTATTACAATGCAAATTGTAATTTGATTACTCATTACTGAGTGACCTCATAAATATTTTGAGTAATTTATTTTTATTACATATGAGAAGATTGTGAGATTATTTTCTACAACATCTGCACACACAGGTATGTCAATTCTGTTAAATGTTGAATATGGATATGAATTGGATATTCATAGTCAACACACAAGTACAGATTCCTTAATACAGTTCAACAAAATCAATCTTGTTTTTTTAATAACCCTTTGCATTTAACCTTTTTCTCTGTAGTAGCCTAGTGTTCACCTTGTTGCGTTTATACAGTTCTTTTATGGATTGCATGACCTCCTCTGTCTTTAGAGTGTATATGATGGGATTTAGCATAGGTGGTATTGTCTGCGTCAGGGAATTATTAATTATCCGGGCGTTTGGATGGATAAATGTTGCTAAAGCTGTAATATTAATACCTAAATGTGGCAAATAAAAAATTGCCACCAACATGAAATGTGAGGTGCAGGTTTTCATGGCTTTGATCCTGTCAACACCATGAGCAATCTTAAAGGGTTAGTTCACCCAAAAATGAAAATTAGGCTGCGTTTAAAAATCGCCCATCCATTAAAAAATTTGTCTCAAACGGCTCCGGGGGGTGAACAAAGGCCTTCTGTAGCGAATTGATGCGTTTTTGTAAGAAAAATATCCATATTCAAAACGTAATAATCACTTGAATCTAGCTTACGCTTACGGAAGCAGTTCTGGGGGGAATGACGTATGAAGTCGGCTTTGCGCATGCATGCCGCTCAGAAGTGATGCACGCGGAAACGCAGGGGAGAGATCAAAACAAAACAACGGTCAAGAATTAGAAGTACAAAACGAGGATTTGTAAAGAAGAATGTCTTGGGAGTGAACCGGCTGGCGGGCTTGACTTCAGAGCGGCCGGCGGGCTTGAGAGTGCAGCGGCCGGCGGCCTTGACTTCAGATCTGCCGGTGGGCTTGAGAGTGCAGTGGCCGGCGGCCTTGACTGCTGAGAGGCGGGCTTTACTTCGGAGCAGCCGGCGGGCTGGTTCTGGATCGGGGCCGGACGCTCTGCAGACACCGGAGGATCCGACAGATTAATTCGGATAAGTAATAAGAGAGATATTACTTATTGGACCAAAAAACAGTACACAGAATCTCTTGGATTATAATTTGCAACTAGACGGATGTACTGTTACTTCCTCTACAGTCAAAAATCTGGGTGTTATATTAGACAGCAACTTGTCTTTTGAAAATCATATTTCC